ACCATCAGGGAGAATGAATTCCCTCTGGGTACACTTTGCACATGGAATTTGGCCAAGAAAGAGTTATCTGCAAAACTAGCAGGGAGGCAGCAAGGGGCCTGTGTTGGTCAATATTTTCAGGAGAGTGGAGACCCTTCTTAAGGAGAGGAAGCCAGGCTCAGGGATTTAAATCTACAGTGAAAGAATATAGCATGTTGGCCTAAATATGTTTTCCTTATTCATTCTTTTAATGTGGTTGGCAGGCTTTCACTGTAAAATGAAGTTATTTGGAAGTTGGGAGGCAGGCTAATATGTAGTTAGGGTTGATTTAGTTTGGGAGCCATTCAAGAATGGAAGAGTCTCAGTGTTCAGATGGGGAATGGTGAGTTGGCATTAAATCTTAGAATTATCGGTGGGCCTAGTAGAGGTTCAGATCTGAATGCCACTAATCCTTGCCATGCCAGGGACCGGAGACAGCTATTCCCAAAGGGAGGACTCCATAAGGGAGTCCTAGAGATCCTCTTAGCCCCTTGTGTGGCCATGACATTTGCTTTTCCTCTTTTCTAAAGGCAAAGATAGATATTAGTTATATTTATTGACTACTTCATTGCCCATTAGCTTCCGGATATAGTTATAAGCATAAGAAGATTGCTCCAGTCATTATGGTTTTTAGAGTCTACAATTACATAAAAGCAAGTCTCATCCATCTACAACACCAACGCACAGTGGATCTAGGCTCCTCCTGCCATTAAAATTGTACCATTGAGTTAAACCCAGCCGCAACTATATCTCTGGATCGGAGGGCCAGGAGATTCTGAGGTGAACCAGGATAACTTAACTCCCCTCCTTGCAGCCGGCTTTGGTGATTTGGTTATTGTGAAACTGACCTTTTTCCAGTGAAGTGAGGGAAATGGGCCGGAGAGCATTCTATCGAATCTCAGCCAGGCCCCTGGCCCCATCTCTCACCGTCCTGTAGGTGAGGAGCTGGAATGCAAGGATATCACGGCCAGGCTGCGGTATGTCAAGGTGGGAGACTGTAAGTCGGAAGAGGAAGTGGACATTCATTACTGCGAGGTAAGGGGGCCCTGGCTTCAGTGAGGCCTGCGGGGGGAAGGGTGGGGTTATGTTTCCTGATCAAACATGCATAGAAATCGCAGCTAGCGGGATTTGGGTGTAATAGGACCATAAGGATAGTGGGCATGTCAGACTTCCCTGAGATGTCCCTTTGCAAATTGCCTAGCAGGAACTTCCGGCATTACAACGTGCCCCTCCCCCCCCATTCTGTCACAGGGTAAATGTGCCAGCAAAGCCTTGTACTCCATCGACACGGAGGATGTGCAGGACCAGTGCTTCTGCTGCTCGCCCACTCGCACGGAGCCCATGCAGGTGCCCCTGCGCTGCACCAACGGCTCCCTGGTCCACCACGAGATCCTCAACGCCATGCAGTGCAAATGCTCCCCCAGGAAGTGCAGCAAGTGAGGCCGCTGCCCTGGATGCCTGCTGTCACCTGCCTCACCCGAGACCGGGCCTGCCAGAGCACGGCTGCTCGCTCCTCGTGCTCCGCTCTTGGGCGCTCCTGAGCCCACAATAAAGGCCAATCTCTCCCCCTGCAAAAGGCTGATGGTTCACTGTGTCTACTAGGCTGAGATGACAGGGGTAGGCTGGGCCCGAGTTCCGAACCTGGTTCTGGGGGAGAAAGCACAGGGTCCATCTGGAAGCACTCCAGCCGCAGGCATGGCCAACCTCTGGGAAAAAGTGGTGTCTGCCTCCATGGGGTGGGGAGAGGATTGTGGGGGGCAGGCCTCCTCAGAACCCAGCCCAAATCCCCAAAGGGATTTGCTCAGGAACACTAGGTTCTCCAAGCTCTGGATCCAGGGGCTTCTGAACAGGCAGAGGGGTGGGCCCTGGGGCCAGGATCCTGCCAAGACAGACATGGTTATTGCCAGTGTGGCTGACCTTGGGGTGAAGGAGTTTGAGCAGGTATGCCAGGGTTTCTCTGAGCCCTTGGCTCCCTAAGTTCCCGTGTATTGTCAGTGGCCCTTGAGGGAAGAAGAGGTGCTGACGACTGACGGGACTTGAAAAGGGGTGCTGGCCAGTACAGGAACAGGGGCCCATCCAGCACAGGCTTGGCCATAGGGGATGAGCCCCAGACTTGCAGGCAGGCCTGGGTTCTACACATGACCCTTGTTCTGCTGTGTGGCCCCAAATAAGACCATTAGTGGTTCTCAGACTTAGTTTCCTCATCTGGAGAATAGGAACGTTAGTCTCACTCATGGGTGTGAGAGGGTAAAATACGGCTGAAATCTGGGGGTAACTGTAAATTGCTCTTTAATAACATAAGAAGTGACAAGAATAAAAATGAGGGGAAATCAAGGCTCAAAGTGGGGGGAATAAGTGTCTCTATTTTCAGTGGCAGAGCATTAGGGATTGACTTTATCCTGAGGAGGGAAAGAGCTGAGTTTCTTTTGGGCTGTATGCTGGATACCCAGGCCCTGCTTACTCCAGACATCTTTTAGTGGAAGGGTAGAGATAACACCAAACTTCACCCAGTCTCCAAATCACTAACCAGTAATGTCACTCTCAAGAACAGATTGTCCTTCTGTGGAGAGGACAATTTATGTGAAGAGTTTACATGTATATGCTGGCCAGATAGTGGAGACTCTAGCTGGGGAGAGAATACCCATGAGAATTAAGGGAATGCCCTGGGTTTATAACAAGAATTTGATGGAGAATTGACTTTCATTCCAGATCCATTTAGCACAGGAGAGACGCTGCTCACTGGAAGTGCTGCATGGTGGAGCTGGAAAGGATTTAGACATCATCCAATCCACTCTCCCCTCCCCCCACCGCCCCTTTACAGAGAATAAAAGCAGCTCAGAAAACTCGAGTGACTTGTCAAAGGTCACACAGTGGCTGGATGGCAGGTTCAGAATCCAGGTGCCTGACACCTAGGCAAGAACTCCCAGGCCACTCCACGAGAGCCACGCCATCCCTGTTGCTTACAGATTCGGTCCTCACGGGGCCCTGGAACCAGTGACTATGGCATTTCTAGGACTCACCCACTTCTGATAGTGTGGAGAATCACCCGGAGGGGAGATACACTACAGGCAAATGGTATGGATTGTGTTGAGCAGCTTTGGTGGGGAGCTTAGTCAGCAGAGGAAAGGAAGAATGGATAGAAGTTTTATATAACTGCTCAATAATTCACAGGTTGTCATCGGTCCGTCCAGCACCTCGCCTCCAGCTTTGAGTAGGCTCTGAGGTCTCTGTAGGAAACCAGATCCAGGGGCAGGGAATTACCTATCTCTCTTCTTACTGATTGCCTAACACTCTACCTGGGGATGAGGTGTTACTGGAGGCATGGGCCATAGAGAAACTCAGCAGGGAGGCTACCTCTCCAGCCTAAGGTGTCAATTTTCCAACCCCCTGTGCCTCCATAGCTTGAATTTCTCCTCAGATTTACTGATAGGACAATTCACTGTCAAGAAAAAAGCCAAATCAGAAAAACTGTATGTTTTGATTTTTAAAAAATGGCAGGGAGCAGGGTAAGGAGGCTGCAAACAGAGAAAGCGGCAGTGGGGGTGTGTCTCGGCCACTTTCCCTTTTAACAGGGCAGGGCCTGTCTCTGCTCTCAGGGATTCTTCCTGCTTGCCCTCAGACCAGGTGAGACAGAGTCCCCCAGGGGAGAGTTTTAGGGGGAGTCTCAAGGAGAGAGTATACAGGGGCTAAGGGATAAGAAAGTGCAGGAGGGAGAGAAGAAAGGGAATGGATTAAGGAACCATGGTGGAAAGGCTTCCAGTGCTCTTGGCCTTGAAAAAACATGGAGAAGAGTTGCTGGGAGTGAATGGGGAGAAGGGCATTGTCTGGGAGAGAAAGCAGAATAGCAAAGCATTGGGTCATGGACTCTGAGCACACTGGCTGCTTGGGGATCCCGGCATAGCTCCTAGAGGTGAGTTGCTTGACCTTTTACACGGTAGTCTCATCTGTAAGATGGACACACCAGCAGCAACTGCCTCATAGGGATGTGTCAGAATCAAATCATCACGGTGGTAAAGCTCTGAGAGGGCTACCTGAGGAAGTCCGGAATAAACGTTAGCCCTGATCACTCCTCGTGGCGGGAATAAAGCTCTGCATTGGGACATAATACCTTTGGTTTTCCTTTTGTGTTGCCCCTGACTCATCTGTGCTGTCTACTCCCCTTTGTCCTCTAGCAAGTGGGGAGCAATCACCACCAGCCTACCTTATCAGTGTAGGAGATACGATTCTTCACACTGAAGAATAAGTAGCATACTTGACCTTAACATAATACCCTTCACTTTTTTGGGTCCCTGCATCTTGGAGTCGTAGATTCCCTCCTCCAGAATGGCCCTTCAGAGGGTCTTCCGTTTCTCTGCTCATCGCAGGGCACCTGAACCAGGCGGGAGAGATGGGGGTCCTCTTGTTCTCTGGGATGGAGCTTCCAGGCTCCCTCCTGGACCCAGTCCCAAGCCTCTCAGAGGGACAGTCCCAGTGAGACCTACCTGCCCCCCGTCTGCCTCTCGCAGCCCCTCCTCCTGTCTCCTATCTCTCGGGCCCTATGACCCCCCGCCCCCCGCTCCCGCCCCTCGGACTCTCGGGAGAGGTGGGGACGGCTGGGCGCGAGGGCGAGCGCCGGCAGCTGGGCGAGGCAGCCTCCCTCCCCGAGCCGGCAGTGCCCAGGACGGACAGGGCAGCGGGGCGGGATTGGAAACTCATCAGCCAGACGGTGCGCCAGCTAATCCGGCTGAACGTTCACGCCCGACCCAGGTGAGGAGGCAGCTCTGCCCGGCTCGCCCCTCAGCCTCATTGACCCCAGCGCCGCCCGGACTCGAGCCGCCCGCCGGCGCGCTACCGGCCCACGCGCCACTCGCAGCGCCGGTGCGCCCGGGGCGCAGCCGGGAGCCCCCCGCTCGAACCCCGGGCGGCCGGGCGGGCGGCGCGGGGCGCCGGGAGGGGGAGGAGCGGGCGGCGGGCGGGGGGCGGGCGCGTCCGGGCGCCGCTCTGCGCCCTGGAATTAGCCCCGCCGCGGAATAAGCCCGAGCAGACGCCGGCGCAGCCGCGGGCTAGTCCGGGTTTCGTGTCCTGTGCGCCCGCACCATGGCCGCCCTCGGGCTGCGCGGTGAGTCTCCCCTGCCGGGGCCTCTGGTCCTGGGCGTCCGGCGTGTCGTAGGAGGGAGAGGGGCTGCGAGTGACGGAGCCGGCATCCTAACTCCGCGCCTTTGGGGCGGCTGACCCCACGTGAGCCTGGAGAAGGAGGCGCGGGGCGCTGGTCCTACTCCGCCGGGGTCGGGGAGCTGAGGGACGCTTGAGCAATTTCCCACACACATTATTATTATTATTATTATTATTATTATTATTTATTTATTTATTTATTTATTTATTTATTTATTTATTTATCAAGGAGATAGAAGGTAGGGCAAGAGGCAGAGTATTGGTGCAGCGGCTTTTTGGTGATTCATTACCCGTTCTTACCTCTGCGTTTTGGCCTCAACTCATTACTAGTCGTTGGATGTTTAGTTTAGCTTATCTGAGGCAAGCAAGCAACTGGGGTTTAATTCACAAGCAGTCTGCTGAGGACAGAGGTTCGGATTCATCCCCAGCGACTTTGACTTTGGCCTCCCTGGAGTGTCCTCAGGATTTCAGGAAGTCTCTTCCCATCCTAACCCAAACCTGCCTTCAAGAGGAGCATTTACACCTCAGGGTGCAGGGAAACACAGGCGCCCCTTCTCTTAGAGGAAAAACAAGTGGAGGTGGACTTCCTGGGTGGAGGACATTCTCCTGCCGCATCTCTCAAGTTATACTGAGCAGAGACACACGCACTTGGGCAGGGTTGGGTTGACTTGCCTGGAAAGGGATTATGTTGAGTGTCTTTCTTCTGGCGGTTCTTGAGTGAGGCCTGAGGCTGGGAGGTGCCCACTCCATTGGCATAAACAGTGAATCAAAGGACCTGGAAGGTAGGTGTCAGTCATAGTCCTGGAGATACCTCTGGGAGCCATGTGGACCCTGGTCCAGGACAGAAGGCCCCATTGAGCGAGGTTAGATCTAAGCCCAAAGGCAAGTGGCAGGTGGAGGGAGGATCTTAGACAAGGTGGGGGCTCTCCTAGAGCACTGTGGTATTCTGGGTCCCTCTACTTGCCTGGATTTGTTCTTGGGACCTGATCTCAGAGCCCTGGCCCATCTAGCTGTCTGTCACCCTGACAGACATTTGCTCCTCTCACTGTGTCTTGCCACACACCTGTCATTTTAGGAGGCAGAGACCTAATAGGATGGTCCTTTCCAGCAACATGTAATGCTCTCTGAGTTGCTGTATGTGGGAACCTGGGCCACTTTGCTGGCCGGAGGAAGTGGATGTATGAGGGGAGGGGGTGGGTTCCAAACACCAGCCTCAGGTACTGGTCTGGTTACTATGTGTACCTTTTCTGCCATTATCCATGGTAGGGCAAGGCTCGAGGACATGAGGCACAGGGCCTAAAGTGAAGCTTGTCTTTGATTTAATGAAATAAGGACCTGATTTTCTGGAAATCCACCCATCTGTGACTCTTTGTGCTGGCTGAGAGAAACTTGCCCCACCCTATGGGTGGTGTTCTTAGAGCACATGGAGAATAGAAATTTGACCATTAGACATAAGGATCTTGCCTCTAGCTGCAAAACAGAATCAGTCTCTATTTGTGATCAGGTGGTTAGGCAAAGCCTCTCTGCAGAGATGAGCTGGGACAGAGATTGTGCTAAATGAAAGAACAAGCCTTGCAAATATCTGGAGAATGATCTTGCAAAGGCAAATATATATAGGTGAAAGACCCTGAGACAGGAGTGTGCTTGAGCTGTCCAAAAAATAGTGCGGAAGCCAAGTGCCTGGAGCAGAGAGATGAAGAGGGCGAGTGGGAAGAGTGAGCCAGCTCACGCAGAGTCTCGTAGCTCAGGCCATCTGTTCTTGGCATTCAGAGAAAAGGTAGACTAATATTCATCAAGCATCTACTTTATCCAGACACTGTGCTAGGTGCTTTGCCTGACAACAACTTTGTTGTTAATGTTCAGTCCATTTCATCGAAGAGGAGCCTGAAGTTCAGAGAGGTTCAGAAATATGCCAGTTATATTGTGTTAACCACTGAATAATCACAGAAGGATAAAGTTGGAATTCAAACTTGTTTTCCCCAGCACCTCACCTTGTGGCTTTTGCTCTGTTCATAAGAAGTCATTAGAAGGAAGTGTAGGTACCAGCAAGTGGGGGTGGGAAATGTGGGGGGAACTGGGGCTTTCAGGGGGATACTGATTTTGCAAGGCTGTTAGGGAAATGCGGTGGTCACAGTCCAGGCAGGGCCGTATCTATACGCTACAGCTGACCCTTGAACGACACAGCTTTGAACTGCGTGGGCTCACTAATATGCAGATTTGTTTTTATAGTACAGTACCAGAAGTGTATATGTTCTCCTTATGATTTCTTAGCATTTTCTTTTCTCTAGGTTTGTTCTAAGAATACAGTATATAATACATATACAAAACATGTGCTCATTAACTGTCTATGTTACTGGTAAGGCTTCCAGTGATCAGTAGGCTATTAGCAGTTAAGTTTTGGGGGAGTCAAAAGTTACATGCAGATTTTTAACTGCACGAGGGGATTGGCACCCCTGACCCTGCATTGTTCGAGTCAACTCTATTTCCAATCTGGAATCATCATGGTTAGTTTATCTCGTGGGACCAAGCCCAAGGAGGCTGGTTGTCATCACCAAACTCGTAAGGAAATGTGCCATTGTGATCTACGTTGGGCACATGTCTTAACCAGCACGGATTACCTCAGTTCCACATTTGGGGTTTACAGAGGCATGGGAAACTGACCTAGTGACCACAGGAGGAAGAAGATGTGCTTACTGTCCTGATGGGCTCTAGCCAATCAGGCTCACTCTATTATGTCCTGTAAGTGCAGCTCAGATCAGCTCAGAGGACACCTGTGAGCTGGAATGTTTGCCAAATACTATGCTCAGGGTGGGAGTTACAAAGATTAGTAGGGCACAACACCCTGCCTGTTAAGACCTTACCTTCTAGACTCTTGGTGCCCTAAGACGGTCTTAATACTTTAGCAGCCTTATCCACGGCTGTTCGTCATGGGAAGGAGGAGGTGGGGTCAAACTTTTACTTGTTCAGACCACACCAATGACATTAGCACGACCCTACTGTAGTTCTTTCAAAATGTACTAAACATCTTTCCTGGACTCCTACTGACAACCCTGCATTTCCTCCAGAAACTTCAAGGAGGTAACTTTTAAGTCTCTCTGGCTGACGACCTTCCACCTAGGTTAGCCTGCGCTGAAACTACCGAGGGATTGCAGTTCTCACAATTAGCTGGCGTTATTCCCTTCCTCTGTTGATGCAAATACAAGTTAGAGGGCACGCTACCCTTTGTTAAAAAGCAAAATTCATCCGAGTGAAATTGAAGGTCGAATTGGTTGTATTAAGTGATACACGAATTGGGCAACATCCCATCCAGCAAGTAGAGGGGAGCTCTGAAGAGTCCTACAAAATGGAAGGTTTTTATAGGAAGGAGGCTGGGGCAAGAAGTTACTAGCAGAAGAAAAAGGAGTGTTTCAGGCCTGGAAACCATCTTTTTTTTTTTTTTTTTGGAAACCATCTTTTTTGGGGAAAGGGAATGATAGCGTTTTTATCATGCGGTTTGCTACCTCACCAGTGTTGATGGGGAAATTTCAGACAAACCTTTCAAAGGTTACATCCCCAGGATAAAAGGTCACATTCCAGGGATAGGTTGAAATTGTTGATTTTCTGTGTGTGTGCGTGCGCGCGTGTGCGTGTGTGCTCACGCCCACACGCATGCCTGGACCTGTGCAAATGACTCCATTTTGAGCTTGTTTCTTTTTTAATACCTTGTATCTTCTGACTGACATAGGGATAATCCATACTTTCTAGCAGTCCTTGATGCCTGATATACATCATTAGCTGATGAAAAATAGCTTAGAAAAAGCAATAATATACTTCCATTGTGAAAAACATTTAAATACAAATAAATAAAATAAAAATAAAAGTTCCCTGTTTTTATCTATTTTGGTAATTATTCTTCACCCAAATCCCTTTTTAATCTGTTTTTATTTTTGCCTGTATCAAATAACTATTTCTACTTATTATTTATTAATCTTCAAACAGTTTACAAAAGAGGAAACCCCAGATATAATAACAGTTCAATGAACAAATGCCAAATAATGAAGGATTGGGAGCACAGTATTATATCACAAAACCTGGACTAAGAATAGCTACTGCAGTTGAACAAAAATGTATCTGAACTTCCTGACAGGCAGGTCAGAAAAGAGACAGCAAGTTACATGGGTTTCATTGTCTAATAGAAGGAGGCTAGTTCTAGTTCATCAACATTAAACTTTAAGAAGAATGTCACAGTGATATTTGTGCTATTTATATAAGACGTTGCCCAACATAATGAGCTGTAGTTTCATTAATAGATTTTTGGAAAGAGTATTATTCATCACGTGAACATTTATTGTTTCTGATTTTTTTAAAAGGGGTGTTTGTGTTCTGTTCTATCTCGGGCCACTCCACCCTATTATGTTTTTAAAAACGCTGTTTGCAAACCTGTAGATCACCCGCCATTGGGGTAAACCTCTAATTTGAAAAGTAGTGGCTTATAGCATATAAAAAGCTCCACAGTTCATCATCCATTTAGACCAGAGGGCTGCCAGTCTATTTCTCCTCTCCTCTGTAGGAGGGGGACACAAGACCCTTCCTCAGGAACAGCTCCCCAATTTCCATCTGGTACCATTTCCCTTCAGCCTGAAGAACCTCCTTTAGCAGGTGTTGAAGTGCAGTTCTGCTGGTGACAAATACTCTCAGCTTGTGTTTTTTTTTTTTTTTTTTTAAGATTTTATTTATCTGAGAGAGAGAGCGAGCAGGGGGAGGGGCAAACAGAGAGGGAGAGAAAGAATCTCAAGGAGACTCCCCACTGAGCACAGAGCCCGACGCAGGGCTCAATCTCACGACCCTGAGATCATGGCCTGAGCCAAAACCAAGAGTCGGACACTTAGCTGACTGAGCCACCCAGACGTCCCTCTCAGCTTGTGTTTTTATGGAAAACTGTCTGTTTCACTTTCCTTTTGGAAGAAT